ATTGGACTACTCTTTTAAGAGACACTAGTTTGTATCCAATGTTAATCAGACTCACCTAAGTTCTTTAATTTCAACAGGTCTCCTTTGAATAGAATTTAGTTGTATACAACCCACTAATTAGAATTCCCTCTATGTCCTGGGAAAGGATATTAATTATGGCAGAATATTTGAGTAAGCAAATAGAATTAGCATTGTGGATATGCACACTCAGAAATGGATTGGGTGGGATCGTTCGTGTGGTTCTCTTTCTTGAATCGCAATGCTAAAATCACAAGCAGCAGAATGTACAGGTTCATCCATTTATGCAATCCAGCAATATATCTGTTGCTTTTGTAAAGGATTCCATTGCGGTCATTATGGAGCATGGTCCAAAACCAGGGGTTTTTTTTGAAAAAAGTCCATAGTATGTGAGGTCAACCATCAAATGAAAACCCTTACTCCTCTGTGAAAATGACTGCTGATTTTGATGACATTTGGCAGCCCGTTCAGTAATTATAAATCAGTGGATGCTGCAACTGCATCCCAAGCAACTCAAATTAACCTTTCCTTAACCATAGCAGGCAACTATCTAGCAAAACAGATATTAACTGTATCCCCACAACTAAATGTCAAGTGGACCAGAAGCAAGGACAACCAGTACTCGCCTGAAAAGAAGCACACCTTCCAAACATACAATTGTGATTTAAATAGAAACAATGGATATTTATGAAGAAGCTGGTAAATTAGTTCCCATAAAGAGAATGATCATTGTTGTGCCTTGGAATTTCTTTTTCAGCTTCTTGAATAGGTAGTTTGTGTTTTGCTTCTTGCAAAGCTGAAGGTAACGGGGACTTTAGCGTTTTACTAGTTTTCAGTTGCTAATGTAGACAAAAATGGACAACCAAGAGCTCATTTCAGCCAACGCAAACTATGGCAGCTATGGCTATTGCCAGGCACATTCCACAATGGGCAATATAAGGTGTAAAACCAGGAGATTAGTAGTGTAGTCACAGTAATGTCTGCAGTGGTAGCTGCCCTTTAGATGCTGCTATTGTTAGAACAGTCTACACATTATATATCCAATATTTATAGATGACCACGGTGTAGTTTTAAAAGTACTGTGTGAACAGGCCACAAAAAAACCATAATATAGCATATGTGGAATGAGGTATTTTTTTTATATATAAAAGAATTCAGTATGGTAATCATGTGCATATAAAGAGGAAAGGAGACCTCTAGTGGAATTTCAGGATTCTTCTTTTGTAAATGTGCTAGAACTACAGAGAAACTTCTGCGTCTGACCTGTCCCATGAAACGTTCTATTTTTTTTGTCGCTTAGATTTGTCTATGCAAATAAATATGGGAATGTATGAATATAATGGCAAAAGTGGGTACAGACTCAAACCAGAATTTATGAGAAGACCAGACAAGCACTTTGATCCGTTTAGCGAAGGTATCGTAGACGGAATAGTAGCAAACACCTTGTCCGTGAAGGTATGTATGCAGCCGCTAATGGAATAATTGTCACAATGGTGTGGCTGTTGAATGTTAAGCACCAAAATGACGTCTTGTGCCATGATTCATACTTGGGTTCGAATTCCCAAGTTAAGAAATGCATATGTGCTGCATCAGTTGTGAAGGCAATATATTTTCTTTTAATATTTTATTGGAGTCAGTGACCAGGGAAAATTATTATTATTATTATTTATTTATACCTCACCCATCTCGCTGGGTTTCCCCATTTCCATTCCTGTTAAACAGGAAACCGGAAGCGAAGAAAAGGGAGCTGATGTACCGCTTGGGAGCGAAGTCAAGTGACAGCTTTATTACAATACTCATCTGATTGCGTGGCGAGTTCCCGCCCCCCCCCCAGTGGAAATAAAGACACGTGACACAATTATTTAAGGTTAATGGGCTAAATATGGCCACAACTTTACTGGTTACAGGTGATGAGTGGTATTGGCTTAGGCATTGGTCCTAACCCACTATCGGCTTCAGCCCTTCTGCTTGAAGTCCGGGAAGGGTTAACCACCAGTAGGGGGAGTCCTGCTGATGCACATCAACTAGGATCTCCCCCGGGGTCACCACTTGGGGGCGTGCCTCAGGGCCTCACCTCCATAGGCTTCTGACAGGCCCACGCCCCCCGGAATCCTTTATCAGATTACCCTTCAATATGCGGGGAGGTGATAGTCCTTCCTCCCCTCTTCCATCTACATAACAATACCAATACCAATGCCTAACCGTGAATGCCAAGGAAGTTGTGACGATTTGCTACGAGGCAGGTGAAAAACCATGTGGCTGGTGCCAATTTGCCAAGTGGGAAATATTCCTACCAGGCCCCTTAACGGCGACCAACCGAGGTCCATAGCAAGGTCAAAGACCAAACCTTAAAGGGTAGGTGGGTGGGAAAGCGGAGCAGCTGGAGGCAGCAAAAGTGGTAGATCCCCGACCGCCCCTGCATTAAATTGGGCAGGCCACACACCCCAAGCCAGCCGATTGGCTGTCCTGGGGATGACGCGGCCGGGGATTCCCTCAATCACGCGGAGGCTGAGAGCCGGCCACCGCGCGTGTGTGGTGGGGGCGTGGAGCACGCAATCCCACCTCCTCTAAAGGAGGAAGGGGCTTAGATTGACATGTGAAGATAATGGCGTTCAGACACATGTCACCTACTGGGAGAGATATGACAAATGAAATGGCATTTATGCCCGCTTAGGTCCTGCTATCATTAGCAGTTGCAATAATAATATCAATAATAATGGTCCACTTGAGCGGCTCTTCTGGCAAAGGGTGCCCAAGCCCTTGGGGCTTCCTAAGGAAATTTGCCCTAAAGAATAATGGTGGGGTGCCCAGCCTGCCCCCTGTCGGAACACGCCTGGGGGGCACACGCAGCCCCCGGAATGAGACAGACCTCTCCGGGCATCTTCCTGATGAAGTGCAGCCCGGGACGTTGACAAATCAGTCCTGGTGCGCACCAGCGACACATATCAAAAGACAAGTACACATTCACTCAGCAGAGTATAGCAGAAACGATCTTGGAGTGTGAGTGTTCCATTCTAAGTGATTTATTAAGCAATATATACAGGACAAAGCAATCATGGTGTCCTCTCAATTTTTCTCCGAGAGAGAGAGAGAGAGAAAGAAAAGTACAAAAGTACTGTACAGTGGTACCTCTGGTTGCGAACGGGATCCGTTCCGGAGCGCTGTTTGCAACATTAGTAGAACGCAACCCACATCTGTGCATGCATGGGACACGATTCGGTGCTTCTGCGCATGCGCGTGACATCATTTTGAGCCTCTGTGCATGCGCAGGTAGCGAAACCCTTTCCGGTACTTCCAGGTCACTGCGGGACGCAACCTAAAAAGATTTAACCTGAAGCAAACGTAACAAGTTTTACTGTTGTTAGCTGCTGTGAGCCCAGCTTCGGCTGGGGAGGGTGGGATATAAATAAATTATTATTATTATTATTATTATTATTATTAAAGATAAGACTGGCTTCTGTTCTCACACATTCCAAGCCTAGAAAGTAAACACTGACATGTGATGTAACAATCACACGTCCAGCAACTGAGGAGTGAAATGCTAACACACACACACACACACACACACACACACACACCAATAAGGCTGAATTCTTTCCCCAAGCAAGGGTGCCGCTGTGACTGGAAATTAAAGCAAATGTGACAAAAGAAGGAATCTTTATGGGAATAATGAAAGGCCATCTCAGCCAGTCTGGTATTCCATCCAGGATAAAGCATATTTTCCAGCTCTAGAACCAATGGCCATCATATGCCTATTGAGAGCTTAGGGTGAACAAGCGCACCCCAAACCCCAAACTGGTGGAGAAGAGAAGGGCACTGTCGGATAGGAAGTCACACTGGAGGTGGGACAGAGTGGGAAGGTATTCAGTCCATGCAGAAATGGATGGACTGCAGAAAAATAAGAAATCAAGATAACAGACTTTTAATAAAAGAATGGAAATTGTTTATTGAATATTTGCAAATAAACTGTAAACAGATAATAAGAGTGACAGGATTGTTGCAATAACCTGCTATTTTTTAACAGTATATATAACAGTATGTTATATATATATAACATACTGTTATATATAACAGTGTTTTATAACAGTATATATTTAAAGTAGATGAATAAATGAGTAAATTAAGTTAATTTGGATGTACAGACAATATTAAAAATAAATTTAAGGAACCGCAGAAAGAGGGGGAAGGAAGTCGAGTTTTGAAACGTTAAAATGATTGTGAAATTATCGAAATGTTTAAAACTGAAAATCATAAATAAAATAATAATTAAGAAAAGGGAAAGTATTCACTCCAGTCTCCTTCCAGTTTAAGCCTGCCCTAAGGTCAATGTCAGAGAAGGCGCTGAGAAGGCTTGAGCCTACTCACCGAACACAACAAGGCCAGAATGTCTTACTCCCTGGGTGCACATAGCAGAATATGGCGACCTGTAGTCCCATTTCCCCATCTCCTACCCCACTCCCTTGTCAGAATGGCCGCAAATAAGCCATAACCTAAGTTGTGGGGGCTGCGATCTGCAGAGAAACCATCATGGTGCCCTTTTACAAATTGGTAATTTGAAGTGATGGGAGCATTTTCGAAACACTTATCCTCTACTGTGTCTCCCTATCCAGCGAAGCTTGTATTGTGATTATAGTAAATGGTATGAGTGGAGGCCATGAAACTGAGAAAATGGTTAGCATAAATGAAGCAAATTGGCCAGGCTTCAATTTACTTATGTGTGTTGGGACTGCAAGCGCAGAAGAATAGGAAAGCAGTAATTTTTCAGAGATACGTATATAGCACAAATTCTGGCCCTTGTCCAGAAAGAAATATTCCCACATTCCAGTTTTATACCGTTTATCAGCTACCTCCACAGAATATGCTAACAGAATTTCAAATACTTCTAAATTAGGGCCCCATTTTGGATTTTGGCACAAAACACAGCTTGTGTTCTGCTTTTAAGCAGGTTTTGTGCCAACCCCCAAACTTTGTTCTGGTTTAAAGAGCTCAGCCTGTAGAGCATGAGACCCTTAATCTTGGGGTCATGGGTTCGAAACCCACAAAGTCCTTTGTGGTCCCTTTCAGCTCTAAAACTTTCATTTTATTATGAAGTACACACATACAATATTGAGTTGACAAGCAAAATAGTGTAACAAAACTTCTAACTTCCCCTGTTGTCAGATAATCTTGTAGAAAATAATTTATATCACAGAGAAAAGGTACAGAACTGTGTAAACTAAAAGAACCAGCACAAGTATTCAGTTTACTCAAATTATTATTATTATTATTAATCATTAAAAAATCAATTATTAAGGCCTTGGAGTCCAAATCAACTTAGAAAAAATAAAAGCATGGAGACTTAAAATAAAAGTTTATTGTTTATTTCTTATTCTCAACTAGAGTTGATTGGTTGTGGGGATGTTTTTCCTTTTCACGATGAAAAATGTGAGGGGAATCTTAGGTTTTCAATTCTCTTCCCCTCATATTAACCGTCTGCTATTCTGCTGCAGCCTCGCTCCCTAAGTACCATTACAAGTCTCTCTCTCTCTTTTTAGAAAAAGGATAATCTTGTGACATTTGTGCATGCACAGTCCAGTTTGAACAGATTTGTTCTTGAGCTGCACCTCAAGTTTCAGAAGTTTATACAGGCTTATACTGCATTGCTTTCTGTTGTTAGTTCATAATGCCAGCAGCCCCCAAGTGTTTAACTTCAGGAGCACCTGGGCCACCAGGCATGTTCACAGCCCAGCTGGGATTGTGTAAAGGTGCCCATTGTATAAACCGCTACCTCCATGTTGCAGGGTAGCGCTGGTGTGATGAGTTTACAGCTGGCGTGACTGATGCTGTTGCAGCAGTCCAAGAGGCATTACCACAGTCCCATGAAACACAGTGGCCTTAGGTGCCACTTCAATGAAAACAACATCTTCATGCAAACCAAAGTGTGGATCAGCCATCCCCCAGCTGTCTGGCTGTATTAGATTTACAATCAAGGCTTTAGTTTTTAGAGACATTCCAGTCTATCTGCCACACTGCCACTGAATGCCTAAACCTTGTATTTCTAGATCATTTCTGGGCAGTTGCTGTCGGACAAAAAAGTCGGGACCTACGTAGAAGTGGACATGTTTGGTCTGCCAGTGGACACAAGGCGAAAAGCTCTCAAGACGAAGCCGTCTCAAGGCAATGCAGTGAATCCTGTATGGGAAGAAGAGGCCATTGTGTTTAAGAAAGTAGGTTTGTCGTTCTTGTTTCCTCTACTGAAAAAAGCTTTATAGTATTATTGGCTGCTGGTCTTCAATTCAGAAAATTACCGTATTTTTCGCCCCATAGGGTGCACCGGCCCATAGGGCGCACCTAGTTTTTTTTGGGGGGGGGGAATAAAGGAAAAAAAATATTTCCCCCCCAGGTGCAGGGCTGGGGCGGGGGAAGCCCAAGCGTCCCCTGACCCCAGCCCCCAGAACAGGCTGCTATCCACAAGCCTAGGGAGCCCGGCGGGAACTCCCGCAGGCTCCCCAGGCTTGCGGATAACTTCCTGAAGCCTGGAGAGCGAAAGGGGTCGGTGCGCACCGACCCCTCTCGCTCTCCAGGCTTCAGCGAAAGCCTGCATTCGCCCCATAGGACACATACACATTTCCCCTTCATTTTTGGAGGGGAAAAACTGTGTCCTATAGGGCAAAAAATATGGTAATATGGGGGGGGGGCAGGTGAAATCCTGTTTGTCCCAGTTCTGTTCCATTTGAGTCAGTGGCCAAGAGTCAGTGCCTGCTAGACCTGGGCAATGTTATGATTCACAGTCTGAAACCAATATGACGTTCAAACCGCGATACCGGTTTCAGACTTTTTGAGCCGGCAGTAGATCCCAGCTCCCTGGCCTCCGCCAGCACAGCATACCTCACTCTCGTCTGCCTGCTTGCACTGTCAGTGGCCGGGAAGCTGTGAAGTATAACCAGCTCAAATTGCCTTGATCAGCTGAGAGGCGGGCATTTTAAAGAAGCCCACTTCTCAGCTGATTGAGTCCCCCCGACCTCTGGCTCACGCACAGCTGCCCACGCCTCAGCAGAGCACTTTAACAGAGCGCCGCTCCCGTCTCTGGCTTGCCCAAGCCAAAGGCAGGGGGAACAACTTGCTTAAACTGCTCCGCTGAGAGTTGGGTGGGTACCAGGCTGCCTGCCCCTCAGTTGATGAAGCCCCCCCACAGCTCCACCTTGCGGGAACCAGAGTCATATGGGGGCTTGCTCTGGCTCGCACATGTAGAACTGGTCCGGAGTAGGGCTGGGCAGTTTTGGACATCGTGATATATCAGTAAAGTAAAGGTAAAGGGACCCCTGACCATTAGGTCCAGTGGTGGTCGACTCTGGGGTTGCGGTGCTCATCTCGCTTTATTGGCCGAGGGAGCCGGCGTACAGCTTCCGGGTCATGTGGCCAGCATGACTAAGCCGCTTCTGGTGAACCAGAGCAGCACACGGAAACACCATTTACCTTCCCGCCAGAGCAGTACCTATTTATCTACTTGCACTTTGACGTGCTTTCGAACTGCTAGGTTGGCAGGAGCAGGGACCGAGCAACAGTAACTCACCCCGTCGCAGGGATTTGAACCGCCAACCTTCTGATCGGCAAGTCCTAGGCTCTGTGGTTTAACCCACAGTGCCACCCGTGTCCCGATATATCAGTACACCATTATATTCAGCTGATGATATATCACGATGTTGAAAACCAGGCAATGCCCAGCCCTAGTGCCTGCTCTGCCATCACCTCCTCTTCCTCAAGGGGGAGACTCCACCGTCGTCCACAGGGGAAGAGCCCTAGTTTGCTTGTGTGTAAATGATGAGAAACCACAGCTGCCACCAAGTATTTCCAGTGCTGATTGCCATACCCCCTTCACTCTACATCTTGCAAGGACAATGCCCTTGTGATAATCATGGGCAAGCAATATATTACATGAAAGTCAAAGCCACGCAGGCTGGGAGTGCTTCATCTAAAGAATACTTGGGGAAGAATAAAAGATCTCATAAGCATTTAGTGGCTCAGCATGCAGGTAACACTAAGCCAAACCATATCACTTTCAAGTGTTCGGAGCAATTATATAAATATATATATTGTCATCCTTACAGCATCCCTGCTAAGCAGGCATGTATAACCATCCTCATATTGCAGACTGGAGGGGGTGCAGAGGTTGAGGTTGCCTGCGGCCCAGCGAATGAGCTGGTTGAGATGAAGTAGCAATGGCTTGGATCACAGCTCCTTGCCATAGCCCAGAGCATTCCAAACTGTGTGTCGAGACACATTAGTGTGTCAGCTGCAGTGTGTAGGTGTGTCGCGTTAATGCTCCCTGCACTCCTCCCAGGGTTGGAAAGGGCTTAGTTTAACCTCCGGGTTGCTGGTAAAACTGAATTACTATGTCGCGAAATGATGCCGGTCTAAAAAGTGTGTCGCCAACATGAAAAGTTTGGAAAGCTCTGCCTTAGCCACCACATTGGGTAATAGAGATGTGAAAAGTGTCCTGTCCCATCCCCCAGAAATCCTAAAAGTAATTCTGGAGAGACAATATATAATGAGTTTATTTTTAGGTGCTACATGGGGAAAGAAAAACTTGCCATATCTCTTTTATTCTAATAATAAAAGGAATTATGGAGGAAGAATGAAAAGCTTTAGCAAACAACATGTTTAATCTAATTGTATAAGTTTATGGTGGATTATTTGTCAAAGCAAACAAGTGTTGAAATTTGACCTGAAAAGCGAGATCCTCTTGCAGCTGTGTAAAATAAAGTGAACAGTCCAATTGTGAGAACTATCCCATCTTATAAACATTGCCCACCGGCTCTCAAAATCGGTCAGACTCCCCCCCCCCCCACCAAATGTGTCATATGAAAGTCTAGGGCACATACTTCTGTGGTGTATTGGTGTGTGACAGGGGGAGGGTGCTTATGGAACCCAGAATTTGGAATCAATGGATTCTACCCTCTACCCATCTCCAGTTCTACAGTATCTAGAAGCTGTCAGCTGTAGGGTTTCCAAGATCCTGTGTATCATCATTGAGGCTGAAATTCTGGAAAGGGGGCAGCTTGATCAAAGCATAGCCAGATGGACTGTGATATATGTGCTTGCCTAGTTAGGAGGACTACTATGACATCACATCTGTTGCTAAGAGACTCAGAGAAAGATAAATATATGGTGATGGCAAGAGTGTGTGACAGGTAGCAATGTCCTGGTCACCAGCTCTTTCTGGTATTTAAGAAGTGAGTTGAGATCTGCAGATCATGCTATTTCAACTATCATGTGTAATCAGCTGCGTATTCACCCAGGAATGAACTGTTGCAGCACTGCGAACAATGTAAGATTACTACCAATGTTAACTTGCTGAACAGCGTGTCTCAGTATTCCCGCTTTGTGCACAAGGTGTGCCAGAAAACATTAAATACTTTCCACCAAAATATATTTATTTAGGTTGTTCTGCCTTCCCTGGCATGTCTGAGGATAGCAGCCTATGAAGAAGGAGGGAAATTCATTGGTCATCGGATATTGCCGGTATCAGCAATTCGACCAGGTAGGGCAATCTGGGCTTCTTATTCACTTTATTTATTGTTTCATCTCTGAACCACTCTTCTGCAGTTATAATTCCAGGACAGTTTACAGCATAGATATCCACACATTCAAACAAACAAACAAAAATATCAAGCTAACAGTCAAAACCAAGACCAAAAACTAAATTAATAGTACCACAGAAGGATATAAATCTGTTTAAAGCTGACTATCAAATCAGTTCATCCAATTGGCTGAGTGAATCGGTATGGTTTCAGCTAGCGTTGAAAGCCAGAAAACAGTGGCACCAGCTGTACCTCCCAGGGAAGGGGGTTCTATGAATAGGGTGCCACTACAGTGAAGGCCCTATCTTGTGTCACTATGCTAGGGGTTCTACTGAGTGGGAGGACATCAAGAACTTAATACAGTGGCAATATGATACAGGGAGAGGTGCCCCTTCAGATATTTCTGCCACAATGCATTTGGAGTTTTATAATTTAACATTAATAGCGTGAATTGAGCTCAGTGCAAATCCTGTAGAATTTGTGTTGAA